TTAAGATGTCTGTTTTATAAACAGAAAAAGTTTCTTTTATAAAACTCTCTTTTTTTTATATTGCTCTTCTTTGATCTTGTTTATTTCCACAAGGGTTCTAAGGCTACACAGTTTTTTGTAGCGTTCATAAGATTTCTTAAGCTTTTTCTTCACTACTTTTTCTGTAATACGAAATCTTGAATCAAATCCACCCTTATCCCAAAGACATCTCTCTAAGAATACATACTCCAGTAAACTCTCTCTTGTGACTTTTCTTACACTCCCCTCGAATGCAAAGCATAGAACTTGACATTGTCTTTTTTGCACATGATAGTTTTGCATTTTGATTAATCTTATTTGACCTGAGCCAATATATTCGAAGACAAACTTCTTTAAGTGTGGGTAGTTTAAGCAAAATTCAAAAGGAAAAAAATATATATTTGTTTTACAAGTTTTTTACCTAGAAAAAGCTTTTTTAATTCATTATTTTAATTAAATCTTAAAATAATACCTGTTTAGTGCAAACTAGTGAATACTGAAGTATGTAGATTGTTCTTTTACATCTATTAGTTTTCTGTGGAGCAATACTTATCTTGCAGGATGTATCTGAGTTTCCTGGTTGACAATCCCTGCTAATCCTAGGAAAAGTATATCTCATTGGAGGAGTACTACTGCAACATGTATTTATCAAGTAGTTCTTCTCATTTATGTTTCTTACAGTACTCCGACTAGTCCGTGAAGATTTACAAAGAAACCCATCATCATCATCGGCCATTATATGTTTTATGAAAATTTTTATATTTGAAAAGTATAACTAAAAGGTCAGATAACATTTTACATAAAAGCAATTACTTGAATAGAAAATTAATAAAAACAATATAAAATATTGCAAAAACCAACATATTTAAATGATTCAAGACATCTTACTTTATTCATCCAAGACATAATAATTTATTTTCGGTATAATTTAAGTTTACATTTTTAATTTACATTTATTTATTTCTTAAACCGTTCTATAGACTTTTTGATAAAAATATTAATAACTTCTTTAAAATAAATAAAATAATGATGCATAAAATAATGATTCGTACAGACATTTTCAACATCAAATAGAGAATCTAACAGTAGTAAATGACAGGGCTGAGCGCCACATCAAACTTGTGCAGGATTTTGTGGCTGAAATGACGAAGATTTTTTACAGCATACCATGCAAGTTGTGCAAAAAACCGAAAAGAGGTTGGAAAAGACATGAAAAACGTGATTTTATGTAAATTTTAAATAATTTGTGAGTCTTTTTGTCTTTAAATGACCAATGTGTATAAATATTAACTGTTAAACGAAAGATTTTTTTTTCAGAACAAAAATAACTAAAAAATTAACAATTTTCTACTTTTTAATCATAAATTAAGCGCACCAAAAAGGTGAGGGGGAAAAACAAATAATGCAACCTCACATGAAAAACGTATTTAAAAACATGGAAACCTTAACATGCCCTTTCGGTTCGTCATCCGCAGTGAAAGGGTCCGCTACATCAATGTGTCTAGGACCCTCAAAATCAACAGCCGATCAAAACTTTCGTTTGTGGACAGGAAAACAGCTCAAAGTGCAAGTTCTGCATCAATCAATCTGCAATAGTATAAATAGTATATCATTGTCAACCAAATCAGGCCTATAAGATGTTTTATCTAAGCATTTTAATAATAACCCACTCTCAAAAAAATGTTTTTTAACCGACCATGTCACATTTTATTACACTAACGCCACATTACTTAATAACAAGATGATACAATTAAATGCTTTGAAAAACTCACTAAAAGCCAAACATAATCAAACTATTAACGAAACGTAGTTTAACAAATATAAATGCACTCATCTAATAAATTACAAACTGTTCAATTAATATAGACCAAGTCGTGGCGGGGCAGTGGCTTTATATGTATCAAAAGAAATTGATTCTTTTGAGATTACCAACATAGAACATGAGGTTACCAACATATGGTAACCCTAACATAACTTTTTCTAACTTTGTATGTAGTACAAAGTTAGAACAAGTTTGGTATGGAATCAAATTTAATAAAGAAATACTTTTATTTGGTTGCATTTATAGGCCTCCACCCAAACCAAGTGATACGCAATATGACATACAATTAAGTTAAAATGCTTTAAAATGCTCTATTGTTGCAGTTTCAAACTTAGTTAAAAAGAGGGTGTTTTTGGGTATGTGTTTTGTTGGAGAATTTAATTACAACAAAATTATATGGAAATTGGATAACACTCCTTTATGCTCCAGTGGACCAGCTGCGTCAGATCATGAGTTTATCAGTACATTGGGTAAAAACTTTTTTCACCAATCAGTCACTTTTCCAACATATATCAGGTGGTAATTGTTAAAACTACCTTGGTTTAATTATATCATATTCCATGAATAGAGCTTTTGACCTTGAGTCAAATCCACCGTTAGGTGATAGCACTGAACAATTTTATGTATCAATTTGCTGGAACCTATTTATAGCCAATGTTCATGAACAAACATTCAAAAGATCAAGTTATAATTTAAGGAAAGGTAACTTCCTTATGTTAAGTTTTGAGCAAAGCATAGTTGACTGGGATTATCTATTTATTAACGAAAAAAACAATGATCGATATGGCATATTCGTTCAAAATTTATATCCATTGTCAAAAATTATAAAGCAGTACAAAAAGAAGTAAAAAGAATATTAAAAAAATTTGTATTAGATTATGAAAAATATATTGTAGATTATAAATCAAATAAGAAACGATTAAATGGTTATAAGAAACTAAGGCAAACAGCATCAATGTTGATAAGCAATATGATTAATACCAATGGCTCTGTAACACACTCTGAAACAGACATAAGCAACATTCTTAATAACTTTTTTAAATCTGTATTTGTAGAGGAATCGAGTAAAGTATTGCTAAAACATTTTGAGAATCGTATATCAGCGAATACAAGACTTCTCACTCTGTCCATTAAAGAAATTAGTAAGCATCTATTCAACTTGGACATTAACATAGCTCTAGGGTTCAATGGAATTAACCGTTGGGCATTAAAAACATGTCACTTAGAATTTTCCAAGCCACTCTTTATGATATTTTCAAGCTCTTTACAGGAAGGAGTTATCCCTGACATGTAGAGATTAGTCAATGTGACACCGTTACATAAGAGTGGTAATTGTAGTAACCCAGCAAACTATCGCCCAGTTTCTTTGACTTTAATTCCATGTAAGGTTTTGGAGCGAATCATAAAAGACATAATTTTGAATAATCTCTACTTATATGAACTCATAGCGAAACAAAAGCACGGATTTGTTTTCAAGAAAGGTTTGGTTACTAATTAATTGGAAACATTAGATGAATTCAAGACAATACTCTTAAATAAACAGTGGGCTGATGTAGTTTTTTTTAGATTTAGCCAGAGCATTCGAGAAAGTGCCACATGTATGACTTTCACAAAAACTACAAGCATATGGCATAAATGGAAAATTGTTAAAGTGGATATTAAACTTTTTAGTAAACTGGAAACAATGTGTTGTGCTTGGAGATAGCATTTCAAATTGGGCCAATGTCACTAGCGGCGTACCATAATGAAGTGTGCTGAGACTACTGTTATTTATAATCTATATAAACGATCTTCCAAATGTCTTAAAATATTATTTCTGCAAGCTTTATGCTGATGACAGTAAATTAATAGCCAGAATATCAAATAAAGAAGATTCCCAAAAATTAAAAAGGAAACAAATGCAATTGTAACTTGGACAGAAATTTGGCTCATAAAACTGAATGTTGATAAATGTAAAACTATGCGTTTTGGCTATGGTAACCTTAAATTTAATAACAAATTTTTCTTGTATTTGTATTCTGATAGAATTAAATCAAGGTAATTGCAACAGTCACCACCTGAGTTAATAAATGTTGGAAAGGTGACTGATTGGTGAATAAAGTTTTCACCCAACGTACTGATGAACTCATGAGTCTTATCCAATTTCCATATAATTTTGTTGTAATTATATTCCCCAACAATAAATATACCCAAAAACACCCTCTTTTTAACAATTTCCTTTGGAAAAACTTGCCATACCTCAACAGACTTAAATTCAACTTTAAAGTCACTTCTATCCTCAATTAGAAAACGCATACAACAAAATGTGCTTCCAAAGCAAACAGTCATTTAAAAATTTTAATTATGAAAAAAGATTGGAAATTCTTAATCTTACTACTTTAACAGATAGTAGAGCGCGTGCAGACTGCATTCAACAGTATAAAGTTGAGAATAAAGCAGACCATGTTAATTGGTGTACCAAACCAGAAACTATTGCTCCACAGGGTAACAGAAACTATTACTCCACAGGGTAAGAACTGGGCACACCGACACAGTTTTTTTACTAACAGAGTTGTCAATCACTGGAATAATTTGGACAATTTGACTGTGTTCAAGAAGAGTGTTGAAAGTTTTAAAAACATTTTTGACGGAAAGAAAAATCAAACTAAAGTATAACAATTAACAATGACCGGCACTATACCCCTGATCTGCTTATAGCAGAACATGTACTCATGTTCTGTTCCAGAATTTTTTTCCTTGCGGTATGTAATAATATTAATAATAATAATAATAATAACAATATTCATTTTTATTAGGTCTCTAACTCTTCATCAACGCAAGTACTGATAAACATTTTTCTGTCTTGTCTTTAATCTTGAAAAGAGTCTAGATCTTCTTTTATTGTAGCACTGTCTCTTGGCATAAACATACCCTGATGCATGGTGTACTCAAACTGGTAAAAACTGATGTCAAAGAAGTTATCTGTCTAGGAAAAAATATATCTAAATGAAAATAAACAAAAGTATTTTTATTGTACATTAACATTAATCTACTATTTCTCTGTTACTTAAGTTTAAGAGACTTAAACATAATTAATATTTCTGAAACTAGAAGTATGTCACAAACATTCTCAGTTCAGAAAAATGATATTTTTTAAAAGTTGTCAGAAAAAAACAGAATACAATTAAAAATTTTAGCCTAACTTTAATTGTTTTAACCCTAAATAAAAGACTTTTATAACACGTAATCTGTCAAATAAGAACTATGAGCTATCAGGTTAAGATCATATAACGCCGCAGGAATATTTTTTAGAATAAAATATTAATATATTACTTTTTTAAAACCCCATATAGCTTACATTACTCTAATTGTTTTATTGTTTAGCTTTCTTTTGATTTTCAGGCAATTCTTAACGGTTACAAGCTTTATTACTCGTTTACCTTGCAACTTCCATGCAAAGTTTAACAAAATTAAAAATGCATACATGAATGGAAATGTTATTGAATCGTTAAATAATGTCAATTCTTCTGACTGTGCTGTAGCATGCGTCAGCAACTTTAAATGCACTTTAGTTAATTGGAAGGAAGATGAAATGATATGTGAACTGATATCAGACACAAATCCTCAGCAGATTGCAAAAGGTCTCTGGATGGTTTTACAACCAGACAACACTGATAATAAAATTGTAAGTTTTTATACATCTACGTGCAAACTTTCTTTAACAACTGAAAAAAAAATCTTAAACTGAGAGAGTTTAGTGTAGTTTGGTAAAACTTGTTAATTTATATATAAAAACTCCATTATAGTAAGCAAATTAATAATAATAATGTTTTCCTATAAAATGTTCCTTTAAATTGAAAAATCAGTTTGAAAATGAAATACAGTTTATAAATAATGATAATAATTTTCTCTAAAATGTTGCTTTGAATTGAACAAATAAAGACAGTATAAAATTAAAATGTGGAAAAAGATTTTTCTTTTATTTAAAAAAGTGTCTGCTAAACCAAAACTATAAGTTGATGTATATACACTTTGCGTTTAATGCTATATTAACTGATGTGTGTACTTAGTGGCGCGTGAACCAGACAACTCTAATAGTCAAATTGTAACTTTTTATAACTAGATTTATAAGTTTTATAAGTAGAAACTTTATTAAACAAATGTGATAAAAAGCTATAGATAGCATAATTAATTTTAAAGATATTTCAACTTTTATAGCAAAAGTTGAACTATCTTTAAAATTAATTATGCTGGAACCAACATTTTTGTGAATAAACAATTTTTAAATATCACTTTTTATGATCCACATAAATATTTTGTTTCTGAATTTTTTTCTTAAAAATATTTGTAAAAAAGTAGCAAAAGTACTCATATTACCTAAACGACTTGAAATAATAAGCACTTTAAATTAGTTTAAAAAAATAACATTAAATAATTAAAGTAATACCAACCTGAGAATAAGAACTAATTTTTAAAATATAATTATTTCTATCAGCAAAACTTATCATTTAGATTAAATTTTTACCATATTTTATTGAAATAATACTATTTAGTTTAACAAAAACAAAATATATATATATATATATATATATATATATATATATATATATATATATATATATATATATATATATATATATATATATATATATATATATATATATATATATATATATATATATATAATTTGTTTGTTACTCTTTCAATTTTATTAATTCAAATTTTTACACAATAAAAATATAAGTTTTTGAACTTAAATTACAAAAAAATAATTACTTTTGTTAAAACATTAAAACTTTTCTTATGTTTTGTTTTTATTCAAAAAGCAATTAAAACCTCTGCAATTTTTAGGATTTTAAACTTGGTAGTTTCAATAAAAAACACTTGGTTATTTGAACATGCTTTACACAAAAATGTTATTTTAAATTAAAGTCAAAAATAAATATTTTTATGCATTGTTTTTCAAACAAAGAATGAAACGGATTTCCAGCTAATATATTTTTCTTTATCAAAAAATAAATGTCTAAATTTCAACATCAAAATTTGTTAGCGTTGTAATAATTGATTTGTGTTTTAATTAAACAAAAGCCGCTAATTACTGCCTATAAATTTGCTCTAATTAAACTGCTTTCTGTTACTGCTACATTAAGTCAATTAAAGCTCTAAAAAGCAACTTGGAATTTATTACTTACAACTTAGGAATCTTTTAGTATGCTAAAACCCAGTGATCTTTTACTTGCAAATTACCAATGAACTTTTAACAAAACCCAGTGGACTTCCATTAATATTTTCTAGGGTACTTCTAGGGTAGTGTTATTGTTCTAAAACCCAGTAATCTTCCAGTAAACTTGTCCTGTGAATCATTCCATTAAAAAAATTCATTGCAGTATTTAAAAAAATACTTCTCCGCATTAAAAAAATTTGAATGGGCAAATTGATCTCAACTTTCTCGGTATTTTATTTTTAATACAACAACTGTTTACTAACTTTTTATTTATTTTTTTTTTGCAATTTTTTATACCTTTTGGTAAAAACTTTTACCAATGATACCGTATGAATATTCTAAACGTAAAATTTTATAATAACAAAAACTATTTTTTATTTACAAACAAAACTAATCTTTGTTTTATGTTCAATTTCCACGTTTCTGTACTTGTGACTTGTGCCTGATTGAATTTTAATTATAGTAGAGTTAAAAAACTTATAAGGCATACTATGAGATAAACAACACATTTGGGGTAAAAATTTTGAAAGTTTTTACAAACTGTTGTATTTTAGGTTGGTCAAATTTGTGAGCAGGTTAAACCATGTGACAGTACGCAAATATGTCGAGATGTATGTGATTCCTCTAATAAACATACTTTTTCTTGTACCTGTAAGTATTTTATATTTATTTATAAACAAAATATATATATTTTTTTTTCTAAATTTAATTCACTTCCTGAAGGCCGAGAAGGCCACTACAGACGAGGAGACTACTTATTTAAATAAGTAGTAAACCACAAATATTTGTGGTTATAACCCTCTCTCAACTCTATAACTCCGAAACACGAACCTTGATGAACAAGGCCGCTACGCGGAGAAACGAGTTGAGCGCGGTACTACCAGGGACGTGGTGGGGATTTGAGTGTTATGCTATTTATTAGTTAACAGTTACTTAATAAAATGAAATTATTTCAGCGCTTTTCACTTTATTGTAAATCTTCAAACTTGATTGAAGTCATCATTAAAGCATTTAAAATAGGCTTTTATATCCAAGTTTGAAAAACAGTAGACCACCCAGCAATTTCAGTGGACCTATATAAGCTTTTTAGGCAGTCCACTGTTTTTGCTCATCGGCAACTTAGTAGACCATTAGTGGCAGTTTTTATGATTTAATTATATAAGGTTAACTACAAAAAAATAAAATTATTTAACTATTAAAAGAAAGCAAATATATTTCAACAAACTATGTAACTAGACCCAGCCGGTATAAGGTCTTTTCATGACCAAATGCTATCTGTAGAGAAAAATATACATATACACCTATAGAAAAACAAAATTTATAAAAAAAAATTAATTAGTTTTGACAAAAATTTATTGACTGAAGGGGACAATGGTATAATAACGGTTCTAATTTAAAAAGTATCTACTGTTAAGTACAAGCACGGATCTTAGAAATAAATCCAAAAGCATTCTACATGTCCTGCGTTAGCCATAGCTTCAACTTCCCAATTTGAGACGCACGAGACGACTGAAAAAAAGAAAACCTAACAACGAAACCACTAACATAGTTAACCAGGCAGAAGAGTTTGAAACAGGGAAACCACCGTTAGTTGTTGTTGAAGTAATGGACCAAGAAGCTGCACAAGAATTTCTCTGAAAAGATTGGAAACTAAAAAACTCTATCAACTTTAGTTTATCAACTAGACCTATCAGTTCTGCCAATGGTACTCATACAACATTATTATTAACAGTAACCTTTTCGACAACTATAAGAACCAATAGTACACCAATTTAACTATAAGAACCGATAGTACACCAATTAATTTTGCCTACAGTATTTATACGGCAGCACCATCGCCAACAATCCCTCAGACAATCACAATCACCAAAAATAGTCTACCGATTAGATCCGACAACGTTGCTGCTTCAGCAGCACTATGGACAACAACCCCTCTGACAACTCAATACTCTAATTATGGATCAACAAAAAGTGGTAAACCTCTTTCTATACTAAGCTGTTACTATACAAATGCCACGTCCCTAAGTTCCAATAAACTAGCAGAGCTATCTACACTTTATTCTTCCAACATCATTCATGTAATTTTTGTAACTGAAACTTGGTTCTCAGAAACATCAGCATTACTTTTAATAGGATACAACCTCATCCGTAAAGACCGAGCTAATGGTTATGGGGGCGTTGCAATATACATTTTAAACAATCTTATAGCATACCAAATTGGATCTGATACAGTGCCCAGACTCTCACTCGTTTCGTCTGAACAACTCTGGGTTTCACTCACTATAAATAACTATTCTTTCTTATTCAGTGCATTATATAGGCCACCTCTTATTGTCAACCACCAAAATAACAATCTAATAGATTTCGAATTAAATAACAACATCAAATTGGCTGCAAATGCTGTCAGAAAAAAAATATTTTATGATCAGTAGTAGTTGGGGATCCTTATGTAAGATGGTCTCAAGATGGATCAGCTAATTTGTTTGGACCTGAAAACAACCCTGGACACATTTTCATCAAAATGTTAGCTGACAAGATCTCAACATGTACTTGTTCCCACCTTTACAACGGCAGATGGCTCACAAAAAAATACGCTTGACTATACTTTAAGTGAAAACCCGCTCAGTGTGTTGAACATCAGACCAGAGCCCCTCTTAGGTAATGCCCACCAGTCTCATCTAAGTCTACTCTAAAATTATACTCTTCCGACCGATATGGCATATAAATATATCAGCTACAATTTAAACTATAGAAAAGACAACTTCACAGCTATGTCAGCTAAATTATAAGATACTGACTGGCCATCTCTTCTAGCGAACAAAAATATAAAAGAAGCTTATGAAACCTTCATGTCTCTTTACCATAAACTGTGTATTAAGTTAATACCAACTTTAAGATCTCAACTCGCAAATCAACAGCGCCTTAGATAAGCAAAGAGATCATAGAACTATCTAGATTAAAGTCACGGCTATGGCATCTAAACACAGCTAATAAATGGAGGTCCAAGGACTTAAAAACACGTTACAATCAAGTAAAAAATAAATTAAAGAAAATCAGCAAAAAAGAACGAAATAAATTTGAACTCAACCTTGCTTGCGATAAAAAAAATCATAAACGTTTGTTCGTGTATATCAATAGTAAAAACAAGAGTAAACTTGGTATAAGCGCTTTACTAAACAGCTCCGGTCAAATAACAACTGATAATGAACAACAAGTAAACATTATCAACAAACAGTTTGAAAGCGTCTTCAATTCAACGTCTAGTCCAATACTTGGCAAACCTTTAATAAAACTACCAAAAAAATTAGCAATATTAGCGTTAATACAAATAAAGTCGAGAAACTTATTATTGAGATGAACCCAAATAAAACCCAAGGACCTAATAATATCCATCCAATAGTGTTACACAGCTGTCCATCAGAATGGAAAAAACTTTTAGCCATACTATTTCAGCAATCACTTGACCAAGGCGAAGTTCCTATGGCATGGAAAATAGCCAACATCACTCCTTTATTTAAAAAAGGCTTGACCACCGAACCGAGCAACTACTGACCTATCAGCCTCACCACTGTTATTTGCAAACTACTAGAACGTATAGTAAGACAAACCATCTTAGCTCACCTCGTTGACAATATTTTAATTGCACAAGAATAGTACGGTTTAATTCCCCGTAAATCGTGCTCTACAAATCACCTTAAAACGATGGACTACATAATAAAAGCATCCGCTAATCGACTATTGGTGGACTTGCTCTTCCTGGACTTCGCTAAAGCTTTTGACAAGGTTCACCACATGAGCCTAATCTTGAAACTAGAAGGATATGAGATCAACGGTCAAATTCTAGAATGGGTGAAATCCTTTTTATGCAACCGTAAATAAGGAGTAATCCTAGGCAATGTCGTATCGCACCAGTCTCCAGCGGTGTTCTTCAAGGGTCGGACAAGAACATGGCATATAAGGCTAAACATCTCCAGATGCAAAACTCTTCACATTGGTCGCTTGAACAAAAACCATACTTATACAATGCTCGATGTCGATAAGTTTATTCGACTTAATTTGGAATCTAGCTCATCAGAACGTGACTTAGGCATCATAATTAGCAATAACCTCAAACAAAACGCCCAGGTTTGGACTGCTATTTCTAAAGCTGCTTGGGTTACTTAAAAAGACATTTGTTTCCCGCAATGTAGAACTTTGGAAAAAATTATACATAGTGTACGTGCGTCCTCATCTTGCTTCAAGTTGGAACTCACATACGATTAGGGATATATATGTATTAGAGAGAGTCCATGGACGCGCTTCTAAGATAACCCACAATATAAAGCATCTACCTTATGAAAATAAATTAGGCATTTTAGACTTGACCACCCTTGAAGAAAGACGTCACCGTGGTGACTTAATTCAACTTTTTAAAATTGAATCTGGAAAAGAAATAGTTAACTTGTAACTTCAAATCCTAATAGTAATTTTTTGAATATGTATAAGTTTTTGAATATATTTAATTTTTGATTAAATTAATTATATTTTTAATAGATTTAATTTTTTTTGTATATATATAAGTTTTTGAAGGTCTGAATATATTCATTATGGTATTAAACAGTGATAGATGAGTGGATACAAAGAAAAATCTTGAACAAAAAAAACCTTCTAGTATCTATAAATGTAAACAATGTTTTGTGGCGTTTAAACAATTCTCTAATTAAGACACAACTAGAACTCATATCGAAAAACCAAATACAAGAATTTTTGTTGTTAAAGATAAGTAACCTTTAGATATGTATGTTCATATTAATGTAGTTATTATGTTTAAACAAAATCACAGTGTTTCGAATTTAGAAGCAATATTACCTTAAAGTTAGGTTAAAAATATTTGAAAAAAGGAGAAGTTCAAAAAACCTATAATTATAAACGTGATTAAATTTTTATCTGTTAAACTCTTCTTTTGTGAAAAAAGATTTTAATGTTCAAAAGTTGCGAACTTGAAAAGTTGATAACATCTTAAAATAAAATGGATTTTAAACATTTCTTGATCACTATTTTTATAGTAAAAACAAATTTGTTTCGATAAATTTAGTTTTCCGATAAATTTCAAATGGTTTACGATTTTTTTCCTTTCTTGATTTAAAAAGTTGGTCAGGGTTATTTTTTTTTCCCAGGTTCCAATCACGGTAATTTTTATAAAACATTTTTGTTTGACACCAGTGTCAATACAAAAATTTACAAGTTTGCAAAAACTCTGGGTGTTACCTCTTGAAGACCAAAAATCCACAACCTGTTCGTTTTTTTTTTTAAAAGACGTTGACAGAGTTGAAAATATAAATATAATTGTACGAGGCACTGTGACTTTAAAAATGTAGACTGTATCTAGCAGACTTTCTCTATTTCGAATTTTACTTAATACCTAACAAAAAAATATTAAGGAAGGCTGGTTTTATAAAAAAATTTAAACACTAATTTTTATTTGCAACCAGACAGCAAGATAAAGTTTTCGAAATGCTGTTAAAAATGTTTAAAATACTAAACTTCACAAAAAATACTTGAAAATTGATCAATTGAAAAAAAAACAGAACCAAAATGCCTTTGAAATACTTTTTAAAATACAATTCAGAAAGAAACATAACTTGAATAGAACGATTCAAACTAAAAAATAA